CTCCTCTCCTCTCCTCTCCTCTCCTCTCCTCTCCTCTCCTCTCCTCTCCTCTCCTCTCCTCTCCTCTCCTTTCCCCCCATCCTTAACATCACCACCAGGAGCGGCCAGGAGAGGCATTTGATGCGGACAACCTCGAGCACATACAGTGGATCTACCAAAAGGTACCTCTCGCGTTATCACTCTCCTATCCTCTCCCTCCCTCGCCCCTCCTCACCCCTCTCTCCTTCTACACACCGTTGATGCCGACAACCTCGAGCACATACAGTGGATCTACCAAAAGGTGCCGCTTGTACTCTCCCCTCCTCGCCCCTCCTCGCCCCTCTCCCCTCCTCCACACCTTTGATGACAACTTGGAGTACATGCAATGGATCTACCCAAACATGCAATGGATCTACCCAAACATGCAATGGATCTACCCAAACATGCAATGGATCTACCCAAACATGCAATGGATCTACCCAAACATGCAATGGATCTACCCAAACATGCAATGGATCTACCCAAACATGCAATGGATCTACCCAAACATGCAATGGATCTACCCAAACATGCAATGGATCTACCCAAACATGCAATGGATCTACCCAAACATGCAATGGATCTACTTAAACATGCAATGGATCTACCCAAACATGCAATGGATCTACCCAAACATGCAATGGATCTACCCAAACATGCAATGGATCTACCCAAACATGCAATGGATCTACCCAAACATGCTGCTCTACCACTTGCTCAACACCTTTCTTTCGTTCGTTTCCTTCCAATCCTTTTTTTTTTTTGTTGTTCCCCCTCCCCCCCTCTCCCTCTTTTTATGTATATATATATATATATATATATATAAATATTCATGCGACGGCCATCTGTCAACTTCACTTGATCCATGTCCGTCTCTTTCCTCTCCCATCCTCCCCCTCCTCCCCGTCCCTCTCCTCCTTCCCTCACCTCACTCCTCACCTCTCCTCTGCTCGCCTGTAGGCTCTCATTCGCGCCCAGCAGCACAGCATCACAGGGGTCACGCTCTCCCTCACTCAGGTCAGTCAGACCAAGCACTCTCCAAATGCGCCATGCATGTGTGTGTGTGTGCCTTGCGAGTCCACTCACTGGCACAGCATCGCAGGGGTCATTCTCTCCCTCACATAGGTGCATGCCATCAAGGTTAAAAAAAACGACCGTATTATTGAAAAATTACCGGAAAAAACGGCCGTAAAAATGGTTTAAAGCGGTTCCAGGAGGTGATTTTTGTTTGAAGAAAAAAACGGCTGATGTGTGGGACCAAATTGATGGCGCAAGGTACCAGGATGAAGAGGACGAACCCCTCCTTGCATGAGTGCGCTTGTGGGCATGATTGAAAATGTATACGACCTTGTTTTTTCCTTTTTTTCTTGGTGACAACAGTTCTCTAACAAAAAAACGCTGTTTTTTTTTATGTTAATTTCATTTTTATTATTATTATTATTATTTATTATTATTATTATTATTATTATTATTATTATTATTATTATTATCATTATTATTACCGTAAAAAACAGACCGTAAAATACGAAAACCGTACTTTTGAACCTTGCGTGCCATGCAGCATGCGCCATGCACCATGCACAATGCACATATGCTATGCTGCCATGCACAATGCACATATGCTATGCTGCCATGCACCATGCACATATGCTGCCATGCACCACGCACATATGCTGCCATGCACCATGCACATATGCTGCCATGGACAATGCACATATGCTGCCATGCACAATGCACATATGCTGCCATGCACCATGCACATATGCTGCCATGCACAATGCACATATGCTGCCATGCACCATGCACATATGCTGCCATGCACCATGCACATATGCCGCCATGCACCATGCACGTATGCTGCCATGCACAATGCACATATGCTGCCATGCACCATGCACATATGCTGCCATGCACAATGCACATATGCTGCCATGCACCATGCACATATGCTGCCATCCGCTCTCCTCTGTGCTGTGTATGTCGCCTCTCCTCGTCAATGTCTCCTCTTCCTGAACCTGCGTTGTCGCCATTGCCAACCCCCTCCCCGCCCTCCAAAAGCTGTTTCGCTTACTTCTTGCAATCGCCTTCGTCACACATCCCATTGCCGTGCCATAACTTCCCGTCTCTGTCACACCACTATCACACTGCATGGCATGCAGGGAGTGGTGAAGAACATTATCCCCGCCATAGCATCAACCAACGCCATCATATCAGCGGTGTGCGCACTGGAGACTCTCAAGATCGCTACAATGTGCTCCGCTGGGATGAACAACTACGTGATGTGAGTGAATGTGCTTTTACTTAAGGATCCGTCAGTGATGTCAGTGAACCTGCTTACGTGTCTCAACAGCCACGTGATGCACGTGATGCACGTGAATGCCCTGCCATCCTTGAACAAGTATTCCACACTTCCATCTTCCTCGTCCTTCCCAATAACCACGTGTGTGCCCTTCACAGGTACGTGGACACACAAGGGGTCTACTCACACACCGTGGCCTATGAGAGGGACCCTGAGTGCCACATGCACCCTTGAACAGATATGCCACACTTTCCTCTCCCCCGTCCTTATCCCTCCCAATCCCACACATGTGACCCCTCAGGTATGTGGGCACGCAGGGAGTCTACTCACACACCGTGGCCTATGAGAGGGACCCCGAGTGCCTTGTGTGCAGCGCGGGCGTCCCAATGATTGTTCCATCCGCAGCCACTCTGCAGCAGGTAGGTACTTGGCATGTGTGGCATGGCATGGCATGGCATGGCATGGTGTGGCATGGCATGGCATGGCATGGCATGTGTGTGGCATGCCATGGCGTCTAAATGGTAGATACTTGGCGTGTGCATGGCATGGCGTCTTGCACTCTGCACCAGGTAGGTACCTGGGGTGCTAGCACGGTAGCAAATCCGCATTGCAGCTACACATCGCAGCAGCTGTCACTCTCTGCAGCAGGTGATGCTTTCAAGACTCACGAGCAGCCAGGGCGCGTTCTGTACTTTCCTTTCATGCTGCCGTCTCATCTCATTCCACCGTATCCTCCCTGCAGTTCATTGACCAGCTGTTGCCGTCTTTATCAACTAGGGCAAGTTTAGGGACTCCCTTTCATTTCAAGTTCTCATTGCATTCTCCCTGCAGTTCACCAACCAGCTGTTGCTGTCTCTAGCAACAAGCACACGATTTTGACTTTCCTGTCATTCTAAATTCTCATTGTATCCTCCCTGCAGTTCATCGACCAGCTATTGGCCGACCCGCGTTTCGCCGCCAGCTTGCAAGCCCCGTCCGTCTCGTTCTACGGATCTAACCTCTACCTCCGTGCCCCTGCGGTGCTCGAAGAGGCAACTCGGCCAAATCTTTCCAAGCCACTGAGAGAGCTCATGAACGGAGTGGGTTGTGTGAATGGGGAGGAAGGTGGAGAGAAAACGGGTGTTTCGACTGGAGGTGTGTTGAATGTGAATGATAAGAAGCTAGCAGGTGTGCTTAGAGTTAGGGTCTCTTTCAAAGACTAGCTGTGATTGAAGAAATTCATCGTCGCAAGATTTAAACTCAATCATAAGGTTGGTCATTGTTCATGTGTAAACAAGGTCTTGGTTTATAATACCGTATTCTCCCGGATAGAAGACCCCCCGGAATACAGGACCCCCGGGTCTGTAATACGGGGGTGGGTCTTTTATTTTGGCAGGTTTCCACTATACCCCCCTCTAGAGGGGTAAACATTACAAGACCCTCTCCCAAAAGTGCAGACTAGTGTTTTTCTATGAAATTTGATGCATTTTCATGTGTTTTTCTAGCATGATAAGGGCGTGAGCACAAATTTAGGCCCATTAAACCCACACAAGGGTTGACTGTTCATGAAAAAAGTAGCAAACATGGGGGAAAACAATAGCCAGATTTCAATGTTATGGCCACAGCTAGATTTGAATGAGAAGGCCACAGGCAGTTTTCAGTGTGATGTACCTAAATTTCGAATGCTCACATTTGCGGACCTATTGAGGATGGAAAAAAAATCGCGAGCATCCCCATCTATGAAGCATTTGAACACACATCTTAAAAATGTGTCCATATGATAAGACCCGGGTACTATATCATTAGTTGCCTTTGACAAGACCCCCCCCCCACTTTTTTTTTTTTTGAATTTTCCATAAGACCCTAGGGTCTTATATCCGGGAGAATACGGTAGTCAAGCTAGCATCACTCATGGTCCGAAACGTAATGTTACAGGCCACAATCATGTGCGATAATGAAGGCTGCAATGCCAGCTCCCGCGATTATTGTTAAATTTCTCTTGCCGCTACTGCACCCGCACCTCGCGCGCAGCTGGTTCAATGACAACGACAAGGCCGCCATGGATTTCTCCGCAGACTCTCGAGAGCCTACTTCGTGAAGGTTACTTATCAGTTGGTAACTCTGAGACTAGATCCGAGGTCCTGAGTACATTACGATGCAGAGGATATAATTTTTATGTCTACTACGCGGACATCATAACCTCGGCTACTCAAGTGTATCACAGGGTTGCAAATACATTTCAAGCTAAGCAACCTCAAGGATTTCTTGATTCCGTCGGCAGTTTCTCCGGGTCTCATAATGGTTACAATGGTCATCAACGTAACAAAGGTTCTATCCTACGGTTCTGGTCCAACTTCACATCTGCTCGAATTTCAAGGCATGATCCCAAGGCTAGGACTTCGGGAGTTCAACATTTCCTCCAGGAAAACAAGTCACGCGCTCCAGAGACTCCTTATAAGGAGGTGGTGCTTAGTCTTCAAGCAGCATCAGCTTCATTCGCTTTCCAGTCATTTTTATCTGGGCTGCTTTCTGTGCATCATCATCGCACCATGCCTCCGAAACGGACGACGAAGGCTACCGCGGACGTCACGCTCCCGGACGACCTCCTAACATACCCGTTCATCACGCTCCCTCCTGCTGGGGATGGGGCTGAGAAGCAAGGATCAAACGACACGGTCAATGTTCATGCTGCCACGGACAATGTTGCTGGGTTCGTCAAGGAATCGGCCACTGCTGCTGCTGTTGCTGGTGGCTCTGGTCTGTCAGTGGAAGAGAAGAGTCAGGACCATCAGGCTCCCACCGTTGTGGCTGACGATTTCCTGGAAGATGATGAGGATGAAGAGCTGGAGATTGACATCGCCAAGGAAGACGCTTTCCGTTTGCGCTATACTGCAATCTTACTCATTCCGATGGTGCTTTCACAGGAGATTAAGGCCACCATTGCTGCAGTCCGTCTTCTGATGACGAAAGTCTGGAGCCCGTCTTTAACTGAAAACGCTGGGGTTACGGCCAACATACAAGAGATGTCACCTGGTTACGTTGCGAAGACGCGCTTTTGCCGGCTTCATATCTCCTTCTTGGATGAGAGGTATGCGCATCACATCAAGTTTCACGTTTTCGAGTACCACGAAGAAGGCGAATGCTCTGGCGATCAAGTGTATCTGGCAGCATACGGAGGATGCTACATACCTTAAGGAGAAAGCAGCTCGTCCTCTTGCTATTGAAGTGATTTTTCGCCGTGTGCCTGCTAACATTGTCACGGATGTTTTGAAGGACCTGCTCGTTCGCTTCAAGTAGAAGATGCGCAAGCATTCGGCTTTTCAGGAAGGATTTGGCTTCCATCGGGTAGCTCACCCACTCACCGGAGCTGATACCGATGTGATCAAAGGCTTGGTCGTTCAGCATCCTGGTGACCGTTACCGCTGGCGCCACGTGGTTGACAATCCGATGGGTTCCGGAGAGAAACTTCTGGTCCATAACCCTGCACTGTCCTGCCAGCTTTGCAATGGACAGCATTATGACATCTATCATGATCTGTTCATCACAGAGCGGCAGAACAATATAGGGAAGTGGAACCTTACCTTGGGGAAGGCTCATAGTATCAATGGTAACTGCATCGGTCAATCTCTTAACGTCACAGCTTTACCTCTTTCATCCCTTACTGACGATCTCTGTTGCGCTCACAGCTGCTTCTCTGCGCACCTCCGCTCTAGTCACTCCCATACTGAAAGACCCATCCATCGCTCTTGTCTCGACCGGCAGCAATCGCGAAAAATGGATCTGCACGCAAGTGTGCTGTGGGAAAGCGAAGGGGAAAACTTTCCTGGCTGCTGCGGATCACATCATATCTGCGACTCACCTGCTGAACCAGGAGAAGTTGGGTACTGCTACAAAAGCCTATATGGACAAGACCAACCTTGCCGGACTGAAGAAAGAATACAACTTCTGAGGCTGCAGAACGAGAATTGGGTGCTGTTAGCGATCGTAGGGTGGAGTGCAGTAGTCAGTGTAGTCACCATCTTCAGCCTGTGGATGAATAAGGGCTGCCATGCAGTTGTCAAATGAGTAATAAAAACTTCTTCTCCTTAGCAGGCCTTAACGTCAACGGCCTAGGCGACAGAACAAAGCAAGACAGAGTTTCAACCTGGATCAGTACAGCAGCAGATATCATCATCCTCACAGACACAAGGCTACCAGATAACCATACTTACAGGAAATCCCCGTCCTTCGCCACAGTTCTGACAGCACCTCCTACTGATTAAGCCGGAGGTGTAGCCGTTCTTACCAAAGACCCCTCTGTCCTCCTCACGAACACTAGTACCCACCCGTCAGGGAGACTGATTGTAGCCACTGCTAGCCGTTTCGGCTTCACTCTCACCCTTATTGCCGCTTATTTTCCCGCAGACGCAGCCGACAGATGTTCTTTCTTGATGAATGTAGTCGGTCCGGTTTTTGACCAGATCCCCACCACTGATCACGTAGTTCTTCTAGGCGACCTGAACATGGTAGAAGACCCAGTATTAGATCGGACATCTCAATCAGGCTCTTCCTTAGAAAACGACAGACTAATTTCACGATGCAGCCGCTTTTAGCTTTCAGACTCATTTCGCACGCTCCATCCTAAGCTAAGAGAATATACCTTTTACGCAGTCTCCAAGCAATCCAGCTCCCGCATCGACCGCGCGCTCGTGTCTTGCTCGCTTCTCCCGCACCTTGACGTAGCTGCACACATTCAACCGGAGGAATACATTTCATATCACGGTTTTGGGATTAAAATCGCCTTAAAAATCAAAGCCTCTTCTCACATGGGCCCTGGCATCTGGAGGTTGCATGCAGCGGCGATAGGCAGGCCCGGAGTTCGGAAAGCGGTGGAAGCTGCTCTGGCAAAGGCGGCTAAGGAAGGGGAAGGGAATTTCGAGCTACTCCTGGGGAGACTCTACGCGGGGTTACGCTCATACATGGAGGAGAACAAGAGGGTAAAAAAAACAACGGCTCATCTGGCAGAAGTAGTAGCGGAGCTTCACCAGGAGCAGATGAGAAACACGGGATGCCAGAAGACGAGAGACCTGCTGCACGTCAGAGATGCACAACTGAAAGAGTATCATGCGTCGAAACTGGACAGGCTTCACGTGATGACGTGGACAAACGTGGAGTTCACCTTCACCTTTCCCATTGGCAAGATTCAAGGTCAGGAAGCAGAGAACACAAATTGCGGAGCTGGTGGTGGGCGGTTCCAGGATCTCCGACTCACCTGGGATCCTGCAGGCCGCGACGCAGTATTTCACAGACCTGTTTGGTACTGACGGCCGGACGTCGGCGGAGAAGTGGAAACCACATGCTAGGAGGAAGTTGGATGCAGAGGTCGCGGCTGGGCTCGCGGCTGACTGGACGGAGGCAGAGGTGAAGCAGGCTTTCAAAGCGCTTGCGGACGGCAAATCCCCTGGGAAGGATGGACTCCCTAAAGAGCTCTTTGAAAGGCACTGGGACGTCCTTGGCAAAGAGTTTCTCCGCATGGCGCAATCCTTTGCTGCTTCAGCTTCTAATCCTGCAAGCATCAAGGAAGCGGTTACTATTCTGCTCCATAAAAAAGGCGAGAAGGATAACTTGGATAACTACCGTCCAATCACATTACTGAATTTCACGTACAAAGTGTTGGCGCGGGTGGTGGCGAATCGGATGAAGCCGCACCTGCACAATGTGATTTCGGCGGAGCAGTACGGTTTCATCCCCGGCAGGAGAATCTCATATGCCATCGGTGTGGTTGCTGATGTTATTGAGGCGGTGAAAAAAGGAAACAAAGACTGGTATATGTTGCTGGTGGACTTTCGCAAGGCTTTTGACTCAGTGTCAAGAAGCTTCCTCTTCAGCGTCCTCAGGGAAATGGGCTTCCCGGAGAGATTCGTCGGTTGGGTGGAAGGTCTGCACAATGACACCGGAACGAGCTTGCTGATTAACGGCTGGTTGGGGGAAGCAGTGGATGTGAAATCCGGGGTGAGGTAGGGCTGTCCACTCGCTCCTTACCTGTTCCTCTGCGCGGTGGAACCCCTGGCACAGGAAGCAGAGCGACGAAAGCTTGGCCTCTGCAATAAGGCAAACCAGAGGTTAGCGTACGTTGGCTACACAGACGACACGACACTCTTTTTGGAAGGGAAAAGACAAATCGCCAGGGCTGAGAAGCTGTTAGCCTGGTTTGCCGGGCTGTCGGGGCTGCAGACGAACAAGAGCAAGTCGGTGATCCTCCCGATCGGCCACAACATTGGGAGAAGGCCGGACACGCTGGGAGGTTTTAAATGGGCTAAGGCGGACGAGGCGGGAAGAGTCCTGGGCGTTTGGGTCACCCCCTCCGGAAGCAGTGAGCCAACCTGGAAGCGGGCTTTCGAAAAAATAATTGTGGAACTGATAAAGTGGAAGGCGCTGTTCCTCACAATCGCGGCGAGGGTTGTGATCATCAACTGCTACATCACATCGAGGATATCATATCAGGCACAGGTGTATCCCCCAACAGAGGAAATTTGGAAGAAGCTCATGAAGCTGATTCACAACTTTCTAACGGGCAACAATGCATCTGCAGAGAAAGGCTTTGTGCTGTGGAATTGGGGGTTGCTTACCACACCGAAAGCTGACGGAGGCCTCGGAGCTTTAGACCCGGCGATTCTACTCGCCTGCCTTGCTGCGAGAAGAATCGGCTGTTTGCTGCTGGAGGAGAATGGAAAAAAAATAGAGGAGATTTTGCTCAAGGCGGCGGGGTTACCGCTCGGGGAAGACACGTTTCTGGCCCACGAAAGGCTGTTGAAGCACTGGCCGGGGGATAATGAGCGTTGGTTGCGGACGTGCGAGACCTTCATGAAATCTCCAATTGCAGACACCGGGATGTCCCGCAGCAGGGAGGAGGTGGCGCAGGAGAGAGTGGTTTTCAACCGGAAGCTGCTGTTGAACGGCACGAACCCGGTGGGGAGGCAGAAGGAAGCTAAGGGTCTCTGGGAGATGCAGCTGGGTGACCTAGTAACCGCGCAGCAGGATGGTGTGGTGGTGATTAAAGACATCGACACGCTAGAGCGGGAGCTGCACAGCAGGGACTCAGCTCGGCTGGCTCTCAAAGCACTTGATGCAGCGCCGCAGGAGTGGAAAGCAATGCTCACCCCGGAGACTAGAGATGAGGGCGCAGAGTCTGAGGGGCAAAACTCGTCAGGCATTCGCGGAGGAAGGGAACATGCAGCGGCAACAATTTTCCGTTCGGCGGTTTTCACGAATGGGCAGCTGTCATTCCTGAAGCAGTTGAGGGAATCGTGGGCCACGCCAGATGCGGTCCTTACTAAGTAATGAAGTGGTCCGGCAAGTGGAGCGGCAAGATAGACTGGGAGCGGGTCATCCGTACCAGAAACTCGCTCGCCATCCCGAACCGACCGCGTGATGTCCTCACGCGCATACACAACCACAACCTTCAGGTTGGGGAGAGGGTGGACTTTCTCAGCAGCCAGCCGAAATGCCCATAGTGTGGGGAGACTGAGACACAGGACCACTGTCTTTTCAGTTGCCCGATGATTCAGCCTGTGGTCTCTGGTCTCCGGCGCGCTTTGCGCATGCTCAACCCCACAAGGACACCTGCCTCGCTCGGAGATCTACTGTTCCAAGAAACCGGAACCACGTCAGATTTTCCTGAGGCCACGCTAACGGCCATCACCTTCCACCAGCTGTGGGTGGAACGCTGCGATGCGAGTTGCCGTGGGCAGAAGTTCAGAGCTCGGCGGGTACTCAGGAAAATTGGGACGGCTTTTCGGCTGCATGCAAGGGTGTACACGAGGGTGACTGGGGCAAAATGTGTAAAGCCGGGCAAGCTGGGGAAGCTCAAGAGGGTCAGGGGGGTTTTCGAAGCAGAACAAAAGATGCTGATGAGGATCAGGGAGGTTGGCGACAAGAAGTAGAGTTGGTCGGCCAGTTTCGCGGCAATTTGGAACAGGCCAAAGAGGGCTTTCTTACCGCCCTAGTTGTCTCGCTGGGCAGCGCAAGGTGTCTGCCCTCATGCTCAGTTACGACTGCTTTTGCTGTATGCATTGTCCCCCTTAATGTATACTTCAATCAAAAAAAAAAAAAAAAATCTCGCGCGCAGCTCCTCACAGCATCGACGGCCTGTATGCAGTTTCGATCATCTCAACAAGAATGCATGTCCGCTGGATTTAGCCGCACCGCACATTTGGAGGTGTAAAAGGTGCAGTTCCGAATGGGGCCAATAATTGTGGCAGAATATCAACCTCCCTAGCCTGAATCACAACGCAAGCTGCGCTGAAGCACAATACGCTCTCTCTATCTTGACAGCCTATTTTATGCTGAATTCTGCGGCTGCTCTACGCTAGGTTTTATCATTAGTGCCCTTCAAAACAATTCCCGCAGAAACTGCAGGCGTTACGAGTTCTTCCTTCTTAGCCTCAAGCCAAAACAGCCGAGGTATGTAGTTCAATCTGACAATTTAGTCCACGGCGACAGTAGCGTCGGCGGATAGTCGCTCCTGTCAACTGACTGCACTATTTCGCGCTTTCAGCCATGGTTGTGTCCCATTCTTATAGAATACAATAACTTCAATTTATGCGTCAGGCCATTTCGATCTCTGTTTCTCCCAGCTGCTTTCCTTCGTGACATTTTGCGGGCAGAACTTGAAGAGTAGAAAGATCTTCGTTCGGTGCGCGAGGCCATCTTGACCTCTCCTTCTCGCGGCTGCGCTCCTTCATGAAGTTTTGCGGGTAGACTATTATGATGGCCGCGCAAACTCCGGAGCCGCTGATCAAAGCGAGACGACGTTTTCAGCACTCGTTCTACCCAGCGTTAACCGCTCTCTTCTGTACGTATACCATGTGGGTAATGATGGGACTATTTTACAACGCTCTGAGAGCAACACATTTCTGCGTGCACCAAGTACTACTTATATTTATTATTTCAAATATATCTGAAATGAGGCGTTTGCCATTATCCTATCCTTCTCTGCCGCGTAGAGTCATCGTGAGCTCCTACTCAGTTTCAGATCGTGTCAACACTCACTTTCAGCATGTGTTACACTCCAATTCATGTTACCGGGTTTCTCGATGCTGGCGGGTCTCGCGAGTGACGCTCACGCCCAGAGTCAGCAAGGTGAGAAGACACAATGCGACAGAGGCGCTCCTCTCGATTCTTGGTGTTCGGGTCGAGGAAGTGGAAGAGAGGACGAAGGGACGAAAGTCGGGAGGACGCGCGGACGAGAGGACAAAATGAGATGATGAGAGGAGGACTTAGAGTGGACGAGAGCACGAGAGGTCTGGTTGATTCGTTTGAATCGTAAGCAGAGGACTCGCAATTTGCAAGCTCATAAAGAGTTGAGCCTTGCTATAACAGCACTACAAGAAACCCATCACCTTTTCTTTTCCTTTTCCTTCCATCTCCCAACGTTCCCTCACTTCTCCCATCTTCCCTCCAAACATTAAATTCCGGCAAACGTAAACGCTGTCACCACCCATGCATATCATCGCGTGCATCACCATCCCATCGCCTGTCTCACCATCCGCCACCTTTCCACCCAAATCTTCCATCCTCAGCCACCCAATTTGTTTCCAACTTCATTCCCCCCCCATTGGCAGTTAACCTCGTGACGACCTTTTCAGACAAAGCGGCGGCTGGTGCCCTCAGCATGCTCGTTCAAAGTAAGTAAGCAACAGTTGGGCAATGCTCGTCTTTTTCCTTCTCTTGAACAGCTCGTTTATCCGCAGTCAAACAATCCTGCAGTGGACTGTCTGTCTTGACTCTGTCCGCAATACGTGTTTTTCATAAATTCCGGTGCTTTCCTACAACCCTATTTTGACGCCACCTCACCCACTCCCTCCCTCTGCCCTTTTCCACAGTGCCACAGAATACAGCCTTCGCTACACTCTCGTGCTTACCGGACCAGCCACCGCACCCAAACGAATCGCCTTATATCAGAGACAGCAGCAGCAGCCGGTCATCACGGTCCCCCTTCCCCCCCTCGCCTGCGCACAGCCCGCGCCTTCCGTGTGGCACTGCTCGGGCGCTCCTGCCTCGCCTCCCCTCCCCACTGCTCCCCTTGCCGCCCTCCTTGCTGCTGCGTCTGCTGGCACTGCCGGTGGTAACACAGCGGCTAGCACAGCGGGTGGTGCCACTGCCGGTGGTAACACTGCGAGTGGTACCCCTGCGAGTGGTACCAGTTGCATTGGTTTCTCTGCTGCAGTGGTGGGCGCTGGGAGCAGCAGCATTGGCGCGCTGACTCGAGCCAAGGCGTTCTACGCTGGTGGGCTGGTGTGCAGAGTGGAAGTAGCGTGCATTGGGCTGGTGTGCAGAGTGGAAGTAGCGTGCATTGGGCTGGTGTGCAGAGTGGAAGTAGCGTGCATTGGGCTGGTGTGCAGAGTGGACCCAAAAGTCAAAAGTCAGCCCTGTCCCCATGCTCTGCACCTCCCCCCTCATTCTCCTATCCAACACCCATCACCTCACCGCCCTGTGGTCCTCTGCCCTCTGCTCTCCCTTCCAGATCCCTCTGCCCACCTCTGCCACCTCTGCCCACCTCTGCCCACCCCTGCTCACCTCTGCCCACCTCTGCCCACCTCTGCCCACCTCTGCCCAACTCTGCCCCCTCTGTCGCCAAAACTTTGCAGCTAAGAGGAGCACCAAAAGACTGCCTTGGAATGGAGATGCGTATTCAAGGGGCACACTCCTGGCCACTTCTAAGTATTCTGCTTCCTGTGCACAACTGCAGTATTCTCCTTCTTCTCAGGAACACCTTTTTTTCCCTCCCGTGCACCCCTGCAGTGCCGTCCGCGCTCATGCCTGTGCTCTACCCCACTGCAGCAGCCTCGCTGGGAGAACAACACCTGCAGCAACAACACCTGCAGCAACAGCACCTGCAGCCTCGCTGCAGCAACAACACCTGCAGCAACAGCACCTGCAGCAACAACACCTGCAGCAACAACACCTGCAGCAACAACACCTGCAGCAACAACACCTGCAGCAACAACACCTGCAGCAACAACACCTGCAGCAACAACACCTGCAGCAACAACACCTGCAGCAACAACACCTGCAGCAACAACACCTGCAGCAACAACACCTGCAGCCTCGCTGCAGCAACAACACCTGCAGCAACAGCACCTGCAGCAACAACACCTGCAGCAACAACACCTGCAGCAACAACACCTGCAGCAACAACACCTGCAGCAACAACACCTGCAGCAACAACACCTGCAGCAACAACACCTGCAGCAACAACACCTGCAGCAACAACACCTGCAGCAACAACACCTGCAGCAACAACACCTGCAGCAACAACACCTGCAGCAACAACACCTGCAGCAACAACACCTGCAGCAACAACACCTGCAGCAACAACACCTGCAGCAACAACACCTGCAGCAACAACACCTGCAGCAACAACACCTGCAGCAACAACACCTGCAGCAACAACACCTGCAGCAACAACACCTGCAGCAACAACACCTGCAGCAACAACACCTGCAGCAACAACACCTGCAGCAACAACACCTGCAGCAACAGCACCTGCAGCAACAGCACCTGCAGCAACAACACCTGCAGCAACAACACCTGCAGCAACAACACCTGCAGCAACAACACCTGCAGCAACAGCACCTGCAGCAACAGCACCTGCAGCAACAACACCTGCAGCAACAGCACCTGCAGCAACAGCACCTGCAGCAACAGCACCTGCAGCAACAGCACCTGCAGCAACAGCACCTGCAGCAACAGCACCTGCAGCAACAACACCTGCAGCAACAGCACCTGCAGCAACAACACCTGCAGCAACAGCACCTGCAGCAACAACACCTGCAGCAACAGCACCTGCAGCAACAGCACCTGCAGCAACAGCACCTGCAGCAACAGCACCTGCAGCAACAACACCTGCAGCAACAGCACCTGCAGCAACAACACCTGCAGCAACAGCACCTGCAGCAACAGCACCTGCAGCAACAGCACCTGCAGCAACAGCACCTGCAGCAACAACACCTGCAGCAACAGCACCTGCAGCAACAGCACCTGCAGCAACAACACCTGCAGCAACAGCACCTGCAGCAACAACACCTGCAGCAACAACACCTGCAGCAACAACACCTGCAGCAACAACACCTGCAGCAACAACACCTGCAGCAACAACACCTGCAGCAACAACACCTGCAGCAACAACACCTGCAGCAACAACACCTGCAGCAACAACACCTGCAGCAACAACACCTGCAGCAACAACACCTGCAGCAACAACACCTGCAGCAACAACACCTGCAGCAACAACACCTGCAGCAACAACACCTGCAGCAACAACACCTGCAGCAACAACACCTGCAGCAACAACACCTGCAGCAACAACACCTGCAGCAACAGCACCTGCAGCAACAGCACCTGCAGCAACAGCACCTGCAGCAACAGCACCTGCAGCAACAACACCTGCAGCAACAGCACCTGCAGCAACAGCACCTGCAGCAACAGCACCTGCAGCAACAACACCTGCAGCAACAGCACCTGCAGCAACAACACCTGCAGCAACAACACCTGCAGCAACAACACCTGCAGCAACAGCACCTGCAGCAACAGCACCTGCAGCAACATCACCTGCAGCAACAGCACCTGCAGCAACAGCACCTGCAGCAACAGCACCTGCAGCAACAACACCTGCAGCAACAGCACCTGCAGCAACAGCACCTGCAGCAACAACACCTGCAGCAACAGCACCTGCAGCAACAGCACCTGCAGCAACAGCACCTGCAGCAACAGCACCTGCAGCAACAGCACCTGCAGCAACAGCACCTGCAGCAACAGCACCTGCAGCAACAGCACCTGCAGCAACAACACCTGCAGCAACAGCACCTGCAGCAACAACACCTGCAGCAACAGCACCTGCAGCAACAGCACCTGCAGCAACAACACCTGCAGCAACAGCACCTGCAGCAACAACACCTGCAGCAACAACACCTGCAGCAACAACACCTGCAGCAACAACACCTGCAACAACAACACCTGCAGCAACAACACCTGCAGCAACAACACCTGCAGCAACAACACCTGCAGCAACAACACCTGCAGCAACAGCAGCTACCTTGCCATCGCTCAGCACACCCCTTGCCATCGCTCAGCACACCCCTTGCTATCGCTCCCCACCATTCGTTTCCATCCTTCTTTGTTTCTGCCTCCTTTTCCCCCTTCAGCACTAGTACCCTGACCAACATCGGGTATGCTTACCAGGATCAGGCACCTGCCACTACATTGGTCGTCAACCCCTCCCAACCTATCCGTGTTCCTTGCCCCTGTTCCCTCCACGCAGAAACGCCCTTGCCAAGATCAACTACCTCATCATCGTTACTAGCACCACTCAACCCTTCCAACTGGTCAAGATCTCCCTCTCTCCCCCATCCTCCTCAACCTCCACCCCGTCCTCCGCCTCTTCCTCCTCATCCTCCTCCTCCTCCTCCACATCCCCTCTATCCCTCGCCTGCACGTGGGTCGCCCCCCTCCCCTCTGTGTGAGTCTGCTGAGGCACAACCATGGCGGCTCAAGGATCCCCAGCAGCCAAGGCGGTAGCAGCACTGCCAGCACTGCCGGCAGAGGCGAGTAGTGCGTGTGTGGTCGGAGTGAGTGTGGGAGCGGGGAACTCTGGGAGCCAGACGGCACAGGGGGCGCTAGTGCAAGTGGTGGGACAAGTGCGGTGAGGCAATAGTACATGCAATAGCCTTGTGCGGCGATTCATTACTCTGCATTAGCGTGCGCAATGTATGTGCCTTGAGCGTGGACTGTTTTGGCAAGAAATAAATGCTGATATGCATGTCGTTTGAGCTGATGTTGTCTCAATGGCACCCAACTGGAAACTCCTAATCCCATCAAACAAATCTCTTAGTGAGGATTGCCAAAACATTATAATGCTTATGTTGTGTAGGCTGTAGTGGGGTAGCCAGGCCCTCAAATTGGTTTCACGGCATGCTGATGGATCAGCGTGCCCTGCCCAAAGTCGTGACCAAATCAGCGTTGGGGGTTAAGTTTATGCTAATTTTGTCGGGGTAAAATTTCATGGCTAACTTAGCAATCAGTGTACTAAATTGATTTGATCCACGGAGATCAGTACTATTGGTGCAGCTGTCTAAGGTAATGCTCTATTACCGGAATGGTTTTTTCAAGTCCCATGAGTGAGAGATTGAGAAAGCTTGCTTTCTTTCTTATCAATTGGCATCGTTCTCATTACAAATGGCGTATTACAACATTTGTATCATCATTCGACACAAGCTAGTGCGTGTCAGAATGTTATTATTGTCTAGCCTGTAGTGGGGTGCTCTATAGCGAGTACAACCCAGTTAGGGTTTGCTATATGTACCCCAACTGCTGCTAGTGAAACCCCTCTCCTTTCAATCATTCTTGCCTAGTTCTGTTGACATGCTATCAGAGCAGGTCGACCCCCTTGGGTCGATCCTGTGGGTGGGCCCGCCACCTAACTGCTTCCGCTGCTATTCTGCTTCTCGCACGCCTCGGGCGCGCGCCGTCTTCTTCCTGCCGGGTTTAGGGTTTAGGCGGCGAAAAATTTTAGGGTTTTTCATCCCGCCGTGCGCTCAGGGCGTACGGCGGTTTTCTGCCCGCCGTGCGCCCCGAGGCGCGCGGCGGTTTCCTGCCCGTCGTGGCGCCCCCGGGGACCTGCGCGCTGCCCCCCGTCGTCCTCCTCCCGTCGCCTCGTCGCGGCGCCCTGGGGGCCCGCGCGTCCCCCCCCTCCCGTCGCCTCGTCGCGGCACCTTGGGGGCCCGCGCGCCGCCCCCTCCCGTCGCCTCGTCGCGGCGCCTAGGGGGCCCGCGCGCGGCCCCTCCCGTCGCCCGTCGAGCCGCCCTCGGGGGCCCGTGCGCGGCCCCCCTCCCGTCACCCGCCGTGGCGCCCTCGGGGGGCCCGCGCCCTGCTTCTTCGTGGCGCCCAAGAGCCACCCCGCTGCCTCCCTTTCCCTCCGTGCCCCGCCCCTGCTGTTTCCCGCGCTCCTGCCTGCGTTAGGGTTTGGGGGTGGCGGGCATGGGGGTGACCGGTGTGGGTAACCTGCGGCTCCTCCTCCTCCTCCGTCTCCCACTGCTGCAGCTGCCGCTGAGGGGGGTGGGTGTGTGGGAGCCGAGGGTTTAGGGTTTAAGGGGGGTGCCGTGGAAGTGGAGCTAGGGTGTCAGCAGGGGGTGTGTGAGAGGGGCGTGGGACGGTCGGGGGAGGTTGCGTGGAGGTAGCCGTCGTGACGCCAGCAGCGCCAGTAGTCCGGATGCCCTCGCGCGTTTCGGTAGCCCAGCGAGCCTGCTTCGCCAGTCGCCTGTGGGTCCGTTGCTCCTGTGTGTGCTCGTCGTAGCCGCGGAGCCAGATACTCCCGTAGTCCGGTGCCCTCGTGCGCTCGGTAGCCACTGTGCGCGCCGCTCCTGTTGCCCGTGTGTCTGCAGCTTCAGTCGGCGCCTTTCATCTTCTCGCCCTCACAGTTTCTCCTCCTCCTCACTTGCCCTCTATGATCACCTCTAGCTTTGCTTATAATTGTGAACTATTGCTATGCCTGCTCATTGTACTGATTACACCCCACTTTGGCTATGGGGGTGTGTCAGAATGTTATTATTGTCTAGCCTGTAGTGGGGTGCTCTATAGCGAGTACAACCCAGTTAGGGTTTGCTATATGTACCCCAACTGCTGCTAGTGAAACCCCTCTCCTTTCAATCATTCTTGCCTAGTCTTTTTGACAGTGCAGACTAATAACGCTAGCTAGGATATACCCTATCCAAGTGGCATTAGCAAGGCGGTTTACTCTGGGGTGGGTGGTGGGAATGTTGAGTGAGCCGTTTGAAAATTGAGAAACGTGGGTGGAGGGAAATGAGCTCCAACCCACGGTTTTTGTAGTTGGAGAAGGGCGTTTAGCGCGCTTCGACGATGCCAATTGTGCAGTACAAGCAGCTTCGCTTTCACAATACACAATTTTAAAAAACACTACATGTGTGTTTAAAAATTATAATATTGAGAAAGCTTGCTTTCTTTCTTATCAATTGGCATCGTTCTCATTACAAATGGGTTCCCTGAGACATGGGCAGCGGGGGCCTTCGGTTGCGTACGAGTGCCTCTGTGTGTTGTGCCGATGACACCGCATGCGTCGAATCTTGGAGGGTACGGGAGGCTTCGATAAGAGGCTCGACGTATGGCGTAACATACATTTCCTTTGCTGTGTCGCTTCGCCATCTGCCCAGCCGTTTGAAGACTCTATCTGGCACTCCCGTGTTGGCTGCTACTGTGGCTGCACCTTTTCGGAAAGAATGGGTGCCTAGCTGCAGCTCTCCAAGGCCAACCTTTGCGAAGGCTTCCTTGCACCAGTTCCGGATCGTAGTGTAAGAAGGTGGCCTAGCCTGGCCCTCGCTGGTTGAACCGTGACCGAAGACACGAATCAATGGTCCCTCTGACCGTGGACCATAGCCAGCGAGTCGGATGAAGCGTCGGGTGCAGCGCACTGGGCAGCAGGGGTCCGCCGTTGCTGCAATGGGTATCCAAGTGCCGTGACCAGCTTGATCGGTCTTGGAATGTGGTATGAGAATCCACATGACCTCGTCGTCGAATTGGATGTCTTGCCATTTTATGGCTACTAGGTCAGAGTATCGCAGAAATCCGGAGTACATGAGGATGGGGATCAACCCTTTCTGAAATTGCGCAGGATCGTCGGACTGCAAGTAACTCGCGGCCATGTCCCGGACTTGTTGGATCGAGACGGGTTCCTTCAGACGAGTAGGGCGAGGGCAGTGTCGTTTTGCACAGTCACGGACTTGGGTGGTGAACGGTCCGGTTGTCGGGCATTTGCTCCCAGTCATGCGATGAGCGAAGCTGACCGCCGAGCACGTTAGCTGCACTACGGACAGGGTGGCTTTGCGCGCGGATTGCATGTCGGATGCCGGAAGGAATGGAAGGTTCACTTTTGTGCAGAAGGCTCGAAACTTGGCCCAGTATGGTTCATATGTCCGGATCGTAGAATCGGCGCGGGACTGCGCGAGCATGTTGATCAGTTGGTCGTGTAACTTTGGGAGCAAATCTGAACACAAGGTGTAGATATTTTGAATTAGTCAAATGCCACTCGCAGTGCAGTGATTGGGCTGTGCGGTAGTCCCATGCCCGAAAAAGCAGTTGAATGGGACCCTACGTCTAGGCATTGGCTTCCGTGTGTCAGGGGGATGTGCGCGTGGATGTATGGTGCCCAAGTGCGTGGGGAGGGTTGCAAGAGTGGCCACCAGCTTGCACCTGGCCAGTGCGGAACTATCAGTGTGAGTGATGCATGGGTGCGTTGTGCGTGATGGAGGACGGCTGGGATCAGTTGAGGTGGGGGGAAGGCGAAGTTGTTTTCAGGTGTCCACGCAATCGTGAATGCATCAACTGCAATGGCTGCCGGGTGGGGAATCTTCGAACAGAATCGCGGCAGTTGGGTGTTGCGGAAGTTTGCGAAGAGGTCGATGGAGTGAGGACCCCAACGACGTTCCAAGATCCGGAACCACGGCGTTTTCAGCGCGTAATCGTCGTGGTCGACCATTTTTGAAAGCTCGTCGGCGTGTGTGTTGAGCTCGCGCGGAATCCATTCAATGATCAAGCGCGTGCCAAGCGCCATGCATGTTCGGATGATGCTCTTGCATGCCGTTGTGAGGTCGGGGCTGTGAGAGCCGCCTTTGCGAAGGATGAAGAATACGCCCTGGTTGTCCACCCGCACGAGAACGTGTTTTTGCTTGATCTTGTTCGCGTACGTTTGTAGCGCCCAAAGGACGCCTTCGATCTCCCGTCGTGTGCTAGACGTTCCTCGTAGCGGCTCTGACATGGTCGCGCTAGCTTCTTCGAGGCCACCCGGAAATGTGGTCAGAGTGGCGCCCCAACCATGAGAGCTGGCATCCACATGGATTACCGCGTCGTAGCTGTTCTTGACGTGAAAAGGTGCGCCGTTGAAACGGTCGAACTCCTCGAGCCAAAATTGGAGCTCTTCTGCTGCAGATGGGGGGATAACGACGCTGCTTTTCCATGACGGTGCGTCGTTGATCACTTGTAACATAGCATGGCTGAATGCGCGAGCGGTCGCGCCAAGTGCGACACCCATCGATGCGAGCATGCCAGTGATTCTGGCCACGTGGCGGACCGGGACTGGTCGGCATGCCTTGCTTGCGCTCAGGAGGTTCCGGATGGTTGCATGTAGTGAGGCTCGTCGGTCTGGACCGATGGAGAATCGGCCGGTATCGGTCTCAAGTTCTACGCCCAGGAATCTGAGACGCTGCGATGGTGACAGTTGTGATTTCTTCGCGTTTATCACAAGGCCTGCCTCTTTAAGATCCAATATCACCCGCTGGCAAGTTGCTTGCGCGTCGTCTTTCGACTGGCAGAGAAATAAGATGTCGTCCACGTAAGGGACGACTCGGATGCCTTGTTCTCGCCAACGCCGAGCTAGTTGCTTAATGAGCTGCGTGAAAACGAATGGAGCTGTCGCGAGGCCGAATGGTAGTGAACGGAATGCGTATGTGCGCTTGTCAAATTCAAAGCCAAGGAACTTCCAGCACGATGGGTGGATGTCGATGTGGTGGTAACCAGATTTGAGGTCAATGGAGAACATCCAGT